CATGTTCTCCTGATACTTTGCCATTTTCTCGATTTTCGCGATTTAAAGTTGGAAATTCTCGGAAATCCAATTCTTGGAATTTTACATAGTGCCACCTCTTTGCTGATCATGTTCTCCTGATACTTTGCCATTTTCTCGATTCTCGACTTTCGCGCTTTGAATTTGGAAATTCTCGGAAATCCACTTCTTGGAATTTTTGATAGTGCCACCTCTTTGCTGATTATCTTCTCCTGATACTTTGCCATTTTCTCGATTCTCGATTTTCGCGATTGCCAGATGCAGTTTTCAGCCACGGTAGCTACATATTTTTCCGTGTACGTATAACTGAGAAGACGTCTCGTTGCTCGTCGACGGGCAGCTCGAGACTGATTCGAGATATCTCGAAATCGCGCCGGGGACACTCGCGCGTTATACTTTCGCGAACTAGAAATGCAAAAGTCACTCGCTCCTCGAGATTCCCGCTCGATAATGAACGGCAAAAAATGCCTCTAATCACGCGCATTAGAGTCAGGTATGCGTAGACGTTGCGACACGTGGAGGATGGTTGGATGGTCATCGCGCATGGAGTGAGGACGCGTCGAGTGACCGAGTCGCGCACGCCGTATATAGCGCGCGTAGAAAGACGTTTATCGCCGATTGTGAGGACGTGGCGAGCCGACCGCGCATTAATAACCGTAATAGATCGGAAAGAGCCGCGAGCAGCGAGCTGCATTGTTGCCGTCGCGTCCTCGCCGCGCTCGAGAAATCGGCGGAACACGTGGAAAGTCGTCGGAGACGATTTTCTACGACGCGATGTTAATTAGACGCCGCAGGTGGGACCACCGCGAGACTCGAGGTGACGTGTAGAAGAGAGCGATATTTGCGGGAATGATCGTTTAATTACAATGACATAAAATTCATTTCAGAATTGCCGGAGTATACACGCCGGAGTTGGAAGAAAGTTCTCCAGTTAATAATAAGCGAACTCGACCGTTCTATACATAAATAACAGTAGTTTGCAATTAAAATATATTTACAATAAATAGAAAACGAAACAAATGGTACGTGTAAAGGGTGGGGCACCAGCATGAATTGCTGCTGTGAAGCCGATCCGTGAAAGGAAGAGAAGAAATGTAAATGTAAAATAAAATTGAAAAGGAGAGGTGTGAATTTCAAACGAAATAAAATTAAGAAGAGCAATGCAATACGTACAGGGTAAATTTTATAAGAAAATTCTTTCCCCGTGTATTAAACGCATAAGACGCAAAACAAGTTCGTAACATAACGCAGAAAAATCGAAGCGTGCGCGCTGTGACACCTTAATCTGAGAAAAAGAGTAAAACAAAATGCAATATAATATGCGCACGCAAGATTAGGCCGCAAATAATAGAAACGCTTTGTACGGTCAGGCTCGATCTTAATGTCTAATAATATGTTTTGCGTGTATATCTTCTTTCGACTAGTTCAGTTTTAGTCTTTCGTCGGGGGTAAATTTTCTCAGTCAGCATTGGGTTCCCATCGTGCCCAGCTTCAGGACTGTCCCAGGTTGTCTCTGGACGCTGGTACGCGTGGGCGAGCCGAGACGCGATCGCGAAGAATCGTTTTGTCGACTGCTAGAGAACCGGTACCGGTTCTCGGCCGCCGCGCAAAAAGACAATGGCGTGACCTTAGCGGATATGGCGAGACCAGATTCTACGTGTCTCGAGGATGACCGGCTCGCTTTTTCCTTCTCCCTTTTCCTTCCTTTTCTATTGCCGATGTTAGCGGCGCCGCTTTGCGTTATTTGGACGACGATGTGGAAATTTACTTGCATTTGTATTTACATGGCCGCCCTAAGGAACAGAATTTATTTTCAGACAGTGCGAAATCTCCGTATAGTCCTCTCCCCTTTAAAGGGTTGTCCGAATCTTCTTTAATATATTTTTTCCACTCAACAAATTATACGCCGATTATTTATCGTTCTTCAAACATAATCTCCTTGGAATAGTAATTTCACATAATTAAATCGATGATCGATATGCGCTCTTTAATTTATTTTATAAAAATCATTCCAGATAAATAAGCTTCGTGTAACATTCCAGAATGCTGTAAAAATGCCGTCGTTGCTGGAAGCACTAGAGCTAAAGTACGGCAGCTCAACGACGGACTGCTCACTGACGGACGATGAAGCGGAGTCTGGCTCGCCCAAAGCCGCCCTGTCCGTGAGCATCTTCATCCCCAAGAAGTCTCCGCGGCACACGGTGCCGGCGTTACTGGTGCTCCAGGACTGCGACATCGAGTCGGCGGGCAACGACGACGAGAAGCTCCGCAGCAAGTGCAAGAATGTCGAGGAGCTTGACCTGGCCCAGAACAAGCTGTCGCAATGGACGGAGGTGTTTGGCATCCTGCAGCACATGCCCAAGATCAAGTTCGTCAACTTGAGCTTCAACTGTCTCGCGGAGGTGTTGGATATCAAGCATGGTAACTACGATCTTCTCAGGAATCTCGTGCTTAACGGCACCAGGGTGTCCTGGTCGACGGTGCAGGGGCTGGTGCAGCTCCTGCGCAACCTGGAAGAACTCCATTTGTCCTTGAACGAATACAAAACGGTGAGCCTGGATTATCAAGAACCGAAGAACGTGAACCCGGCGCTGAAGAAACTACACTTCACTGGCAATCCGGTGGAAGTTTGGAACGAAATTTCGAAGCTGGGGTGAGTCTCACGTTGATATTTTAATGCTAAATCGAATTGGGAAATCGATCAGCTTCTCTAGCGGCACAAAATAAAATCTGTTCGCTAAGTCGTTGTTTCGAAAGTCATTGAACATTGCCTGCTTTTCCAGGTATCTTTTTCCAAACCTGAAGAGCCTTGTTCTCGCCGAGTGTCCGATCAGATCGCTCGGTTTGGAGGAAAATCGGAATTTACCGAGCGAGGATAGCCGCCGAACAAAAGAAGAAGGTCACGGGCAGGATAACGAAAACATGAATCACTTAGACGCGGATGAACATACCTCGTCGGCGGACGACAAAGGAAACAGGATATTCGAAAACAAGGTCAATTATGACAGGTCGGAGTCTAAGTCGGAATCCAACGGGACAAGCATCAAGTCACCCCACGATCCCTTCAGAATGCTGAGGTTCCTGAACTTGAACGGTACCTTGCTATCGACTTGGGACGAAGTCGAAAGGCTCGCCAGGTTCCCCGTACTGAAGTCGCTCAGGATCCAAGGCTGCCCGCTTTTCGAGGTGAGTAGTTTTGTTTTCGATCTCTTCGATCGTCAAAATCGGAGTGTCTTGCATTACATTCGTCGTGAGAAAATATTCTGATTGATAGTATCTTGATTTCGCATGTGACTCGATTAAAGAAGGGCAACGAGTGCGATATAAATTTAATATGAACATTACACTTCGTATTTTTTCTACGTATAATATTAATTAAAGATGAATATGTATTAAAAAAATGTATTGCTTAAAGTGAATAAATAAAATCTTTGTATCGCCTGGGCGGCACATTTTTTTCAAATATAAAGTAAAGAATCTATTTCGAAGAGCTAGAAATCAACAGAAGACAACGCGGACAGTAATTGAAATTAGTTACTTGCTACATGTGGGAATAATATTCGTTACTGCGACCCAAAGTAAATCTATCCCATGAAAGATCAAGCTTCACGAAATACGATACGAGTATACCGTTCTAAAATCAATGACTATTTCCATTCTCAAAGTGCATCAAAGTATGAAGTCCAAGCACACTCGACGATAGACGAATTAGAGACACATGTTCAATCTCTCGCATCAAAACTGTAACAGCCGTTAGCATTACGTGAGAAATGATGTGCCCCAGTAAAAGATCTCGCGTGGACATGCGTGGATTGAATCTTGGCACGTACTCAAACGGGCTTATGGATTAATGCAATGCGTGTTTGAAAAACAAGTTCTTGGAATCAATACACTCTTCGCAAGCGTCCCTTGTATTGGCACTTCCAAACACGGTCGTGTTAACAGAATTTGATATTAATAGACGATCGCAAAATAAAACATACTCGCTGTTTGCGTTGAAAAAGAGTCCATATAAGAGTTATTTCATGTGCGAGAACTGGAATTAGATAAATCGACACGTCACTGCGCTAATTAAACGTGCGTGACATGGTAGCCTTCGATTCAATGAGAAAGTTCTGTCGTGGAATGTGTTTCCTATGTTTTAAGTCACTGGCGTCTATAATTGCACAATGCATCTGGCATAGAAGTAGCTTTGCCGTAGTTGATCTATTTGTCTCGACAACGTTGTTTAAATCTATATTACTATTCGAAGGAGATATTATTTTAAGAAAAGAACAGAAATTATTATGCCGTTACTATAAGAAACCCGTCAATTTTGGAGCGCATCTCTAAATATTGAAATAAAATGCATTAACATCGTAGTTTAGGAAAAATAAGAATGTACGGTTTATATTAAACATAAAATCGCGTTATCCTTCTTTAATCGAGTCCCGTACGAAAACAAGATGTAAATCAAAATACTTAATTAAAAGAAATATATTGGCGGAGTAAAAGTATTGGATACAAATGCAAATATCTACAATTTTTGTTTTAACGGCCAATGAATCTTTATATTCGTTTCGTTGATATAATTTAATCCAACTAAACGGAACTTGATCGATCTCCGTCGCATGCGGTTTAGAAAATTAGATACTAGATATCTCGAATTTTTGTTCGCCGCTTCATATTCGCTTAACATTTCCCAGAGCCCTCGAGAGTACACGGAACACGAGAGGCGGCAGCTACTAATAGCCCGACTGCCAAACGTCGAGACTTTGAACGGCGGCGGCGTGATATCGTCTCAGGAGCGCGAGGACGCCGAGAGGGCCTTCATACGTTATTACATGGACAAACCAGAAGCCGACCGGCCCGAAAGGTAATTCTTGGCGCTCGCCAAGTTCGGTCTCGATTGTATTCTTTTTCTTTCTTTGATAATCAAGGCTCGCGCAAAACCATATCTCGAATACTTGTTCAAAGGCGCTACAAGTTGTTTTAACGCAAGCTCTAATTTCCTCGCGAACAAGCCGTTCTTGTCCTTCGGGCAGCTCCAACTTTGCCCGAGCCTATTGGACTATTCTCGTTTCACGGCCACTCCCTTCCGCCTAGAAGAGCCCAACTTGACCCTCTTCTGCGATTTTCAGGTATTCCGAGCTCGTGGCTATTCACGGAAAGTTGGATCCCTTGGTGAACGTAGATTTGACGCCGGAGAAAAGGGTCAAGGTCACGTTCACTTACGGAGATCTCGTTGAGGTACTTAATTTCGTGTTGGGTTTCGTCACTTTAGACAAGTGTATCGCGTATCGACAAACTTCTAGAGTAGACTAGATCCATAATTTTTCTCGAATATGTAACTCGGAAAGTAACTAAGCCTCTACAAATATTTACTTCTGCAAATATTCGATATGTACAGAAGAATTTGCACACCGTAAATAATATTTTTCATTTCTATTTGATCGGAATGATCGGTCACGAACATTTCATGCTTTCAGGTACGGTCGGTAGATGTATATAGGACAGTTTTTGAATTAAAAACCAAGTTGGAAAGTATGGTGAAAATTCCTGCCAACAGAATGAGGCTTTTCTACGTTGATCAGGTGAGTTGTTCTGTCCTGTGTTAACTGGACGGCTTTAATATTGTTCGCAGAACGTTAGGCGCCTCGATCGATCCTCTATGAAACCCGAAGTCGCGATATAAATCGCATTATCCCACCAAATGATCCTTCTTATCCTGGCATGTATTTAGTGCAATCTCTCTCCAAGTATGTCACAAGGTATGAACGCGAGTCCCCACATATATGAAATTTTGTGTTCGTGACGAAGAATTCGCCTTATCCTGCAACAAAGTTGGCAATGTTAAGGAAAAGTGAAGAAAACAAATTAATAATTTTAGGAAATGAAGGCGCAGTACGGACCGGAGGAAATGCTGTATCCAAACAAGCAACTCTATCGGTACAACATTAGGAACGGCGACGAGATCATCATTGACAGCAAACTGAATCGGTTCGCGTCAACGTCTTCGACCACATCTTCCATTCGTTCCTGAAGAAGAACGACGAGTGAATCGTGCGGTATTGAAAAAATCCGGTAACTCCTCGGGTTCTTGATCTCCACTGATAGCCTCACGATGCGACGCCCGTCGGTGAATTGTAACAATATTGTTACAGATCGACAGAGGCGCGGTTTTCATGATGACGCTTGCTAACGCGGGTGTCTGAAAACCGAAAACTGTTACAATCCAAGGAGGGCGATTCGAGGACGAATGATATCTTACCTGGAAGTATATGAGCTAAATGTATAGGATTAGGGATTTGCGGATGCTCGACGTTAAACCGCAAATATTGCAGAACAAAATAATCGGCGGATGATGTAGGAGAAGTCATTGATTGGCGAAAATTTGGTAATCTGTCAGACGCGAAATTATCCAAAGACAACAAGTGTTCCCTCATAAACGGTACGTTTAGACATTTTCTGAAAACCGTTGCGAGTCACAACCGCCAATGCACTTTGATCGCAGCGAACATAATTGATGCAAATAATCGTCCGACGCAATTGTTAGATAATTATTTCTTCGTATAACAAACTCATCCAGAGACCTCGACGTATAAACTTAAACCGCTACTAACGAGCCTGGTGCATAGAGAATAATTATTGTGTCCAGTGTACAAGCGTACACGCTTAGATGGATAGTTAGCCGTCTTTTTCTTTAACGTAGTAATTCTCGTCTGTCTTAGGAGACGATGCGTAATACGGAGAAGCAGAATTGTACATAGCGAATTTCAATTTCCAGCCAAACTCGATGTAGCTACGACGCGAGCAAAGGAGATTCACTCCATTTGCTCGACGAGAAAGAAAGTGATAGAAACTCGTAGAAGAAGATAATTTGATTCATCTTAGAACGATGACAACTGTGACGTGACACGCTACTGACGTTGAGGCTGCTGTGACGAAGAGAATGAAATATTTTTGTAGAGATCGCGGGCAGTTACCCTTAAAGAAAGTATAAGATCCACTCGTTCATGAGACGAACGCGTTTTGTTGCTCCCCGCTCGAGCACCAGGCAATGATAAAAGTGTACAACGCAGTTGCAACTGCGTTTCCGTGCGCGCGGACGCGAAAACGCGTACGACTCTTTCGCGAGAGTCGCTTGTAAAAGGCAAAAGGAAGCCTTGTAAGCAACAAGTAAGCTTAAAAGTAGCGGAATGTATTTATGTCGCTGGTTCGCGAAAGCGTCGTCCACTTACGTTGTCATCTCGACAAATGATCTCTGTACTTTCCGAAGGTGCTGTATACTTACAAGTAAACTCTTCTGTAAACTCTGCGCGAGATTAAAACGCCTAGGTGTCATCAGTTCGTAAACTGCGACTCGTGCGTGGTAAGAAATCATGAAACGCGTTAGAAAAGTTTGTGAAGCCGCGCGGGAGTCGTGCGCGGTTGAAGTTATGTTGTTGTCGCCTATTTTCGACATGTACTTAACACTACAGTACAGTATCTTTATTTCAACAAGGTCTAAGTCTTCGAACGATTATTACTTCTTTTACGGTATTAAAACATATGACAGCGTGAAAAAAATTGCATGTTATCGCAATCGTCACAAAGTGGACGAATAGAGATTACAATACATTGACGACAGTGATAAAGCGCCAATATAAATCTCAAATGTGATAACAAAAGCGGTCTCGATTGCGATTTATGATACGCGAGTATAATTTACGGATTCGTAATTCGATTCTCGAAAAAGTATGTATCTTTTCTTTCTCTCTCCTGAATGCTACAAATATCCGTATGTCTCGTTGCATTTACAGCTTACCCTGAGTTAGGGCACGAACGAGCTCGCGAAAAGAAGCTAAGTAGAACGTTGCGTTGCATCGCTTTGTCCTTGAATCCGCCGGCACCACCGTGCCGTGAAACTTTCGGCCGAGCGTTCAGAGAAAGAAAGCGCGGACGGTGTGTATCAAGTTACGATTTCTTTGCTCACAAGCAACGAAGCTTGCGGAGTCACTTAGTGCCTGCCTTTTACGTACTAGCATAACTCAGATACTTCTAACACTGCCCTGTGAGTAAAACGTAATTCGGGACAAAACTCTCGGTTTAGCAACGAGAAACGTAGGCCGAATTCTTGGAGCAGCTAAAACTCCAATTGACCAGAATCTATAATACAATTTTATTATCATTGTACAGTATACCATATATTAATAATTTTCTAGTTGTACCAATTATCAAGCAGGTAGTTTGCCGAGCGATGACAGAATGTATACATATACGTAATCCGGTGCGCTTTTTTATTTGTGATATTGGGAATCGGTAGAGCATACGATTCTTGCCGTGGAATAGTGTTGCTGTTGGAAAAATTCGGTCGGACGTTTCCCGGAGGAACAAAGGTGCACCGCGATAATCGGCAAAATGTTGAACTGTGGGATTCCAGTACCACAGTCGCGCGTCTTGCCTTCGCTACACGGAGAACACAGAGTTGTTTTAGTCGACGTAAACAACGGAAAATGTAAATCAATCACGAAGGAGGACAAGGCCGGGACTGGTAGTGGGATCCCACGACGCATGTGTCTAGTCTCGGAAAAGGAACTCTGCATTACTTTCATTTTGTAAAATACGATCCTTTTTTGTGCTGGCGCAAATGTACGTACTAACGAAATAAATTTATATGGTAAACCGTTCTTCAACTTTGGATCCCACTTTCTCGACGATGCTTGCGGCAAGATGTTTCCACGAAGAAACAGCGATTGGGCCACACACACACACACGCATGCACACGCACACACATACACATTTCACAAGCATAAATCCAGCCCGTTTAATCTATCAGATTTAATTTTATTTAAATAAATTTTTAAAACAAAGATTACGCTTAAATTACACGCTCTATCGTAAAATAACCATTGTACATCTAAATTCGTAAAAACTCGGATGTCTCTCCAATTGTTAATTCCAGTCAAAACAATCAGATCACAAATTGAAGTTACAGATCATGGACAAAGGAAGGGGCGCGGCGGGAATGTGTATAATACATGAACGTGTTTATTCACAACCGTTACCGTAAACGAGAGAAAGATAATTTTACACATATTAAACGCTACGATCTATCACAATGGATTCTCTGTTTTCCCTCCCCTCCCTCCCTTTCAGATGTATAGAAATATATTTGGATAAATGCTAACGCTACTTAAAATTAATCGCGCCTCGCTGGGCGCGACAGCAGATTTCCACATCTATACATAAAACGGTATAATGGTATGTATTATATACAATAGGTACAAGCTAGATTCTTGTAATGGAAAACATGAATCAATATTTCTGCTGGATATGTCGTAAAGGCGTAAAGCTAGATCTACGTATGATTTGGTCCGATCTTCCGTAAATCCGATTCTTCGAAAATATTTAAGCTATCTGGTTAAGCGACTGTCAATATGGCCCGAGCTAATCACCACAATTGCAATGTAATTTCAAAGTGAAACTGTAGAAGACACCGGCATTCAAATCCAAGGTTAAAAACCATTAGTAAGTACAACATTGTACGTATGGGTTCCAATTTGCATTATTGGAAGCATTGTACTATAAATATTCCTAGGGATATCATTTCAATATCCTTATTAAATTAATTCCTCCTTTAGTTTTCAACGAATGCTCTAGCTATGGACTAATATAGCCTTATTTGTACTCTTACTTCTCTAGAATAATGTTATTAATTTATATTCTTTATTTTAATGTTATTATTTTATTCTCTAGAATAATGTTATTAATAAAGTACATCGATTTTCATTTTTATTGCACTGTATCATTAATGGAAATATTCAAGGATAATCCCGCCACTTCCCGCCTAAGCGCGACTTTGACCAGCCGCTCTCTGCGCCGTAGAAAAATATAGGAACGATGGAAGTGACGTAAATCAACACGCCGCAAGATGACGTTTAGAGATTACGCGCCGTCGTAATTTTGATCTATAACTTTTTACGTCGTACAGAGTAATAACGTTCCAAGATAGCTAACGTTCGATGCAGCCATCAAGGCTGATTAACGATTCTCGTACAAACGCTGCATGTTCTCGTCGCCTCCGGATATACGCCGGGCAACGAAACTTCCTGCACTGCAGATAACTAGAATACAGCTGTCTCGGACGTGTAAGTACTATTGCTCAAGCAGAGAAACTTGCTCGTGTGCTTCACCGTCGGAAATGCTGAACGTTTCGATTCTCTTTCCGGGATGGGTTATCTTCTTTTGTCATAGCTTCGTATGCTTCACACTATCCGTCCAGTAATTCTGTATTGTCATTGCCTCTAGCGAATTTAGGAACGAGTCGTTATCCAAACTGTACATTTCCTCCGAGTTATCCTGCAAATAAACAAAAGCAGTGCTCTTATAATATATTTAGCAGACAAAAATTGCATTTTTTTTTAAATTTTTTAATGAGCGTCCAACAGAAGAAATTTAAAAAATGTATATGTTTAGATACATATACATGAAAGAGTTGTATGCTTAAATAGTTATTTGAATTATTAATTTAAATTATTCCATTGGCCACATTAAATATTTATGTAGTAATACTAACGCGAATAGTGGAATCGTCGATATAACCGGAGCTATCAGGATTGCTGCATTTATCACTGTTCAACGTTTGCGGAGGGTTCAAGTACTTGCGCCTGAAAAAAAACAAAAAGGAAGTTAATGAATGAACGCATTAGCGAACGCAGGTGTAATTAAGTACGCGCTACGAGTTCACGACGCATTACCTGTATATAATGAATCCGAGACTACCCATTGTACTCAGCAGGGCCACAGTCGCTAAACAACTGCCTGTAATAGCGGCTATGCCCGCGGCGGTTGTCGCCGAACCTTGCTCAGTATTTTCGCTGTTATTATTGGTATCGTTATACTCGGGGGGCTGATTATCGCCTTGCACTTGATCCCTCTGGAAGTGTTGCGGGATGAAAGTGTTCCTTGCTCTGCTCAAACGAGTGGACTCGCTCACGCCAACTGCACATTCGTTTCACGCGATCATTATGAAGAGCTTAAAGCCGCCTCTTTCTCTTATCGCTAAATCGTAAGCAAAATAGCTCTGAAACTGCTTGCGTTCTACTCACTTCTATTGTTTAGTAAAATGATAAATTTAATTGGAGACTCGAGCAGAATTAGTAAGCGTATATATGTATAAGTAAGCGTATATAAGAAAGAAGGTCAATGTCAGTGTTGTGGAAACAGACGTTAATTAAAATACAATGCTACTCTCTTATCTCGCGCGAGATAACATCGCGACCGTGAATTATCTGCGAGATCATTCTTATTTTTATATTCGCAGTAACACACATTCCTCGTTGAAGTTTACCTTCGAGTATAGGTGCCGCGGTAGCGAAGTGCTGCGTCTGAGCCACTTCCTCGTCGATCTCGACCTCGTCCTCGGATCGATTGAACGTCCTGATCGCGGCGTTACCGGCAGCCCCGGCCGCGGACAAGGACGTTACGAAGGAGGATCTCGTTCTATTCAGCGTCAGATCAACCTTCGACATTTCTTCTTGAAGAGGTAACACGGTGAGGTCCTCGACTTCCTCGAGGCTGGCGTTCCTACCGGCGACGCTAGACTGGTTTCTCTCCTCCTGCTCGTACTTCGGTTTACCCAACGACTTGTTCGTCGTCAGGATCCACGTGATCTTGCTGTCCTTCTTCGTGGTCGAGTTCCTGATCCTCTCGACGTTCTCCGAGGCGCGCTGCGGTATCGTCGTGCCGAGCGGCTCGACGTTGGAGATATTACCGCGAAAACTCAGCTCGACTGTCTCGCGGACGCTCGTCCCAGAGACGGTGCCTCTACGTTCCAACAGCCACGAGGCGATAGTAGTGACGGATTGCTGCCTGTCAGGCACCACGGCCGTATTCGTCTGCGGATAAAGACCGATAGCCTTGGCGATGCGAAAACTCGGCCTGGTTGACTTTGACGTACGATAGATATCTTCGATCTCGATCGACGAAGACGTCGCTCTTGAGGACGGCTGAGACGGGTTGACGGGATCCGATGTGGTAGACGGCAAAGGATTCCCAAGAATCACTGCGAACGAAAGACGAGGTGTGATTATTGGCTGACGATGAATTGCACAATTGTTAAATTGCACAGTGCGTAAGTAATTTATTAAGGAGAGCACGTTAAGTTTCCCATTGTCAGTAATTAAATTTACATTAAATGATTTCAACGGCTGATTGTAATTTAAGTACACAAATATAAACTGCTTCTTACAATTTCATCATATATCGCAGTCGTTTTCAACTGTTTAACGTGACCTAATTAGAGCAGAAGACTTTAAGAAGTTGCCCGTATCTTTTTATTGATCTTAATAGTGTTAATGGAAGGCAGTTAAAAGTAAAAATAGTCGCTAAAATAGCAGACAGTTCAAGATAGTTACGACAATAATTATCGCTGAGAAGGAAAAATCTTATTGTGTTAGGATGTTATTAAAGAGAAAAGGAAAACAAATGGATGACGACTCACCAAGAAATTGCGCGGTAACCCAGAACCAGTGCATCCACCAATGTAGCGTCATCGCGTCATCTGGATGTATCTGCAAATACGAGGACACCTTTTGAGCGCGCCTATGTGTACCAGCGGACGTAAGAAACCGCGCAAGGCAACTCAAATATGTTAAGTATCATTGCGTCTCTATTTCTCGCGATTTTCTAAGCCCGAACAAACGAACGGCCGACGCTGGTCGCTTCGCAATCTCGTCGGTTCTGGGAGAAGGTGGTGCCGGTGAGTAATTTGCGGCCAATCGCGTTGCTTAATCATGAAATCCGTGTGAGTCACCGAGGAATTTTAAAACCAATACCGGCAGCTCCAGCTTCCAGATACACGATGGACGGCGAGTCAACCAGGTAAAACGCGAAAGGAACGCTTTTGCTGAAAGATATAAAGATTGGATACACATCGGAAAATAATTATGTTGGACCGTCCAAGCAATTAGATTGAACGCTCAAACGGATGGCTAGAATGCCAAACCTTTTTGCAGCACCGTGCTTGGTCCCACATATTTATTTTCCCGGTCCGACACAATTGTCCTCAGATCTGTATCTAGTCTGACTTTCATGTATTTCAGTTAAACGTTCCTTTCACGAATGATGAAGTGAGCACACGACTGTTAATCGCACACGCGAATCATTTCGGGACCGAGATGTTTTTTTTTATGCATTCGGACAGACGTTTTCTCTTCGTTCATCGAAATTTTGGGGAAAGTGAAAAGTTAATTTTAATTACAAACCGGTCCGGAATATCCGCCTGTCGAATTTTCGAGCACGCACCCCGGCGCCGGTGATTTTCGTGCCGAATAACGCAAGAAGCAAGATTGAAATTACGATGGACCGGTACCACCGGCTGACTGGTGCGTCGAGCGCAGGTGCTCGTAAGCAATCTTAAGTGGCCAACATCTGTAGCGTTAAAAGCGAGCCTCCGGCGCGTCTGGCCCGTACACGGGAAACGATAAGTCGTGGCGAATGCGGCATGAAACGATTTATATACACATAGAAAGTCGAAATCTTGATTAAAAACAAACACTGCGAAATGTTTCGTGTCCAGTGCGCAGATCATCCGCGCGACAAAGCTTCAAAAAGTAAACGTTAAAATTAACCATCATACTTTACAGGCCTGCTTTACAAAGTTCCGTGATTTTAGGTAATTTTTGTAGACACGAACGGAATGTGAAAAAAATTTGTAAAGAGAAATATCTTGCGTGTGTAAGACGTAGCGTGTACCCCACTAACGTATCTGAAATATTTACGACGTGTACTTAGTAATTAAATTAATAATACGATGCGACATCCGTGGTGCGTTTACTAGTACCCTCCATAAGAGCGAATGACGAGTGAAGTGCATCCTCTGGGAGATTCTCCAGCGAGAATGGAAACGTATCCCGACTGATCTCTGCAAAAGTTAATCTATCGCATGCCGCGAGTATGCAAGGCAGTCATTGAAGCAAAAGGTGGTTACTTTGAGGAATCTAAAATTTAATTTGAATCTTTATTAAAAGCTTGCCGTAGGTATCTTCGTTTTAATTTTCTTTAGTTAAATGAACACTTACAAAGCAAAATACATCGATTTCACTGTGTGATTCTTTCGTATCCACACACTTTTATTAAGTGTTTCCAAACTTATGGAGGGTACTGTGTGTGCCGATCTGGCCTGCGAAGTCTCGTGCACACAAAACGTGGCGGAAAGATGCGATCGTTAAACAGCAGGATATAGTACGACAGTCATGCTCTGTTGACCGTAACCAGTTGCAACTTGCGACGTGACACGAATAGGATATCGCGCGGCGTTACTTCAAGATTGAACGGCACAATTTTTCAATTTTATCGCCGGAGAAAAGAGCGAATTCGCAGCGTGTAGCTTAAAGCAAAAATCCCGTCGGTCGGTCGTACCTTCGTCCGAAGTCGATCGAAGATAACACTTTGGCGTTAATATTAATCGCCGATGTACCGACATAATGAACCCTTCAATTTATTGACGTCACGAAAATCCGTAATTACGACCTCAACGTTTTAACAGATCTAGAAGCTTGCAAATTTTGAAATTTCACAGTATCAAAGTTAACACTGCAGATACAAATAAATGTAGAGAAAAGTCCCCGATTACAAGATAGGCTCCTAATATAAGATAGCGAATTTTCAACATCCAATTTCGCACGTCTTCTTACACGCACGATCTAGCGATGTATTTTCCACAAAACAGATTTCATTCCAGCAAATTTGTGGTGGAGTCCACGGATGATAATGTCTATTAGTTCAACAGAATCCCCACTATCTCATATTAAGAGCTTATCTCATCATAAGGGACTCTCTGCACGTCCACATAAATGTATCGTTTACATCATTTTATATCAAACTGATTAATTAATTTAGTAACGTTGCTCCTTTTTTCTAAATTAATTAATTTCTATTGCAAACGTAGCAGCAGACCAAACTACCGCATAGACGCACAACAAGAGTTGCGGCCGACTCTCGCGCATGGACGATAAGAATCTTTGTGCAGCATCTGAACGTAATCCCGTGCCGTGCTCAGAGACTGTGCGACCGGATAGCTTTTTGCTTCCTCGGACAAAATAATTACGGAATTAAATAAGAAGAACGGAGAGTGAGACACGCTCGTCCGTGTACAGTTAGTCATGCTCCCCCGGTCGTAACCGGTCGCTCCTTTGCACGGATACGGCTCGGTGGTGAATTGAAGTCTTGGGGGGGGGGGGGGAGAAGCGCGCAATTTTCCCACCGGTAATCCGGATTTAATAAGGACGACCGCATGGAACAAAAGACGCGACGGTCGAACCGCACCTCTTCACCGGACGACAAAAGAGGTCCACCTCGTTGGATAACTCCGCGCCCTCCGCGCGGCTTCATTCACAGACCGGAAACGCGGTCCCGCACGTCGTGACGCGCGCGGAAGGACGCGCAGGGACGCAGCCAGAAATTTTCGGATGCTGCCTGTTGCGGCGCGCATTCTCAAGAGACGGGATAGAAAGGAGCGGGGGAGCCTCGCGACAAAGGCTCTCTTAATTCCAAAGTTATGTAAAAAGTACGTGTGTCCTTTTAGAAACGCTTGATTTTTTTTGTCGACGTTTAACGCCCACGTCCCGCAACTTGAATGCCCACGTTAGATCCGTTCTTCCGCGCACGGGCGACACGTCTCACGCTTGTTTCCGCGAAATTGCGGTTTGTCCTAAGGATCGCCCGATGAACGCGCGCGACGCGGATGACGCACCGTTGCAAACCGCTGGTTTCTGTAAATAAGACCCGTACACTTTTGCCGGTAAACACCTGGTTCATGAATTTCATGCGGATTAACTGCAGTTCCGATTTAACCCGATTACAGCGGCGTTACGCCGCGTTCCATTTCGTTTCGAGATCAAAAGGATAAGGAACAAGTGCTCCACTGGGTCGGCGCTAACGCGTCGATGATAATACGGTTCCGTACGAAACAATTAGAACGTGGTGCACCTCGCGAACGCGATACCGGTTGCGCCACGGGGTATGAAATTGCGCGCGGAGCACAAGCCAGAAAAAAAAAGACACGCTGCACTTCGCGCGTTGCGTAATTTCGCTTCCGCGTGCTGGGCCTCGCCCCACTTTGTTGTCAGAACGGAAGGATCGGCAACGCGCCCAATTATAAACGCGTTAAACAAGTCTGCAAGTCAGCTGTAGTTGCTGTCGCTCATCGATTGCGGGCGAACATCTCTGACATTGAAGATACAAATTCAAAATCAACGGAAGCTATAGTGTACCTGTGCGTGTGTGTATGTGCGTGTGTGTATGTGTATCTGGCCCTCCCTCTCTCTCTCCCTGTCTCTCCGTGTCTCTCCCTGCTTCTGCCTGTCTCTCCCTGCCTCTGCCTGTTTCTCCTTGTCTCTCTGTGTCTCTCCCTGCCTCTCCCTGTCACTCCGTGTCTCTCCCTGTCTCTTCGTGTCTCTCCTTGCCTCTGCCTGTCTCTCCCTGTCTCTCCCTATCTCTCCCTGCCTCTGCCTGTCTCTCCGTGTCTCTTCCTGCCTCTGCCTGTCTCTCCTTGTCTCTCCTTGTCTCTCCCTGCCTCTCCCTGTCACTCCGTGTCTCTCCCTGCCTCTGTCTGTCTCTCCTTGTCTCTCCGTGTCTCTCCCTGCCTCTCCCTGTCTCTCCGTGTCTCTCCTTACCTCTGCCTGTCTCTCCCTGTCTCTCCCTCCCCCCCTTCTGTCTCTCTCTCTCTCTCTGTATAAGACAATAAAGAAGACAGAACCGTGATCTAAAGCAATCTTATATCTACGTGTGTGAAATTGTTTTGCAAGGAATCAACGTAGAAGCCCCTCCTCCTGTAATCGCACAAAAAAATATCGGATCAATTCAAAGGATACTCGAATTTGTCTTAAATTGTTTCCCTCGTAAATGAAATCGGCGTACATTACAAGAATTATTTATTACTCTCGTCTCTGACTTCGTAATCTGAATTATAACACGGAGAGTTCCTTTCCTTACAATTTACCTCCCTGAAAATCATGTAATCGTGAGACACAAGATTTCGAAAATTTTACGAGTTTCTTTAAAATTTTGTCATACATTTTACTAGTAGTCTGTACGGTAAAATTTCAAAAACTCCCATAAAGGTCTTCAAAGCGCCACGTTGTTCCACGATTACATGATTTTCGGGGTAAACTTCAAGAGACAATTCTCTCCGTGAAGGACTAAAGATATTAAGCATTCGTAGAAATACAAGCTGCATAGAGTGAAATCACTCCAATACGTTCAATTGAATTATTTCAGGTATTCCGATGTTCCCCGTGCGAAGATCCAAGTGCTTAGTAACAAACCCTTTCAAAACAGAAGGGTAATATGTTAAATACAAAACGAAAAGTACACCGCGGACAGCGAATCAGAGTGACGTTCACTTCCTCGTATGCTCTACGATTCGTTCCACTTGACTTTCAGACCAAGGAAAATAATTGATTTAATGAATTCGCTTCTATCGCGTGCCGCTTTACATATACTCCCCGTGAAAGCTCGTGAAAAAAAAAAGAAAAATTGGCCGGTTCGCGGCTCGCGCGGTAACGCGCGC